TGTGCTCGGAAGGAGACATTCTCTCGCTCAATAGCATCGAACCTTTCCTGTGCAGACGCTTTCTGTTTCGACAACTCGGCAATTCGAGAAGTCGAACTTGTGACGGCAGTCCATGCAGATAAGCTCCTGCCATGCAACGTTTCGAGCTGACTGTTGAAATTTCGTTGGCGCCGGTAATCCGCTGAGACTTGGTCAATCATAGAATGTAATTCCATGATCAAGTCTGAGATTTCTGGAGATACAGCATCGAAATCAACAGCATTCAAAACCTCCTTTAAGCAAGATGGAGCAGTGGGGTCCCCCTCTAAAGCCTTCATTAAATCTCTCTTGAAGAACTGGGCCTTGACCTTCGCCAATGCATCATCAAGAGGAGAAGTCTCAGTAGATTTCCCCGACAAAGTAGGAATTTCCTGACTGGTGTCGGAAGAACTCTTACTCTCAACGATTGCATTGAGGTAGCTGATAGGGTCAGTTCGCTTCAAGATTTCCAGGTCTTCTTTCGACCTATGCTTTGAGGAGGTGACCCTTGCCATAGCATTATCTTGGACTGGAGGCTGTTGAATGCTGAGTGCCTCGTTTGGTTGTTCTTCGACTCGAACTGAGGCGGTACTAGCGTCGACTCGAGGTTCTTCGTTAACTTCACCTTGGGGTCTTTCGCCAGCGTCATTCTGTGGTTCTTCGCTGGCGTCATCCTGGTGTTCTTCGCCAGTACCACCTTCATGTGCTTCGACAACAGCATCTTGATTCTCTTCGCCATTGCCTTGGTCTCTTCCTTCAGGATTCTCTTCTGACGACAAGACCACCACAGGAACCGTTTTTGGCTGTGTTTCCTCCGCCATAGGTTCTTCAGTTGTCTTCTCCACTGTTTCAGCATTGGCCTCATGCTCAGTGTGGGCTTCGTCATTGCCCAAATCTTGCACCTGAGGCCTGCTAAGGTCAGCAGATTCCAGAGTTTCTGAAGTCCTTGGTGGGGAACTTCCAGTAGTTTCCTAAAAAAGAGGAAGAAGACAAATCTTCAGATGTCGAAAGAGATATAATCAAATACTGGTATTTATGCCTAAGTTACAAGAAGGGTCCAATAGATTACCTGTGGATTGGCTTCAGCCCCAGGGCTGGAATTGTCACTTTCGACAGGATTGTTAACTAGAGCGTTCAGTTCCTCCTCAGTTGGTTCTTCGATGACCACTGCAGGTGGCCTAGGCTTTCTTGCACCAACCTTTATTCTGACGGTTCGACCTTCAGGAGCTGGAGTAGGAGCAGAAGCGTCCTTCGTTAACTTTCTCCTCTTTAAGGGAGTAGGAGGGGCGTCGCTGTCGTCGTCACTCCCCGATTCGATCACCAAGGCTGCCCTTTTCTTGGGCGAAGGGGCCTATAAAACCAATAGGAATTCGATTGAATAATTACGTCGAAAATAAAAAATCGAAAGCCAGATTGCAAATGAAGAAAATCTGGTTACCGATGCAGGAGGCCTCATCGAAGAGCCTTCCCCCTGTTGGTTGCCTGTTGTCTTCGCCGGCGCTATAGTCTTCGCCGGCGGTGGAGGTTTGGTCGAAGGGACTCCTCCTTGTGGGCCTCCTGGAGCCTTCTTGACCAAAGGTTTTCGAACAACTGAAAGCGAAGAGGAAAGTTAACAAGCTAACAGTCGAAGAGAAAGATAAAAGTAATGTGAGAGTATGAACTTACATTTCTTTACTTTGTCAAATACGAGGACAAAGGACTTCTGCAACTCTGCTGTAAAGTCCTTCTCGTCGAAGAAGTACTCAGCGTAATAGCTTCTCCACCATTCTTCAAAAGATGGCGAACAAAGGAAGTTAAGCTGGTAGTTGAACAGCGAGAGGATGGTTCGACCAGCATATCTTCCAATATGCTTGGTAGCAGCGTCTTCTGTATAATCGTTGCAGAAGTACAACATTGACTTCTCTTTTTGGAAAATGGGAGAAGGCAGGGTTTGGATGATGCCAAACTGGCGAGATACCAGGTTTGGTTGATAGGCCAGCAGACTCAGATGAGTCTTAGAACTTTTAAATCGAAGAGGCATAATCCTTGGAGTAAGGAATGCCTCCCACAGTATGGTGTGCTCATCAACGTTGGGACCACTCGACTCCTTGGGATGTGGCCTTGTGAACCAAGCTGGCCCCACCTTTCGCTGAGCGAATGGAGCCATAGTCGAAACAAATTCCTTCCTTCGAGCGAACATCAGCACGAAGTTAGTGAAGGTTTGTTGGAACTCTAGCCCATCTTCCGCAGGCGTCAGTAGAGCCAGCCTAATTCCTTCGATCCGTCTGTTAGCTATCGCTGAGGCTTGTTCATTTATCGGAGTCTTCTTGGGTAAGAAAGACTCGAAAGTGGCGTTAAGCCACAGTTGAAGTAACCAGAAAGGCCCAGCGAGTAGCAGACTGTTCCTATCTTCGATATGCTTCAAAAGAGTAACCCCACCGCTGATTGAGTCGTAAAGACTGGCCAGAATTAGTTCTGCCAGACAGATGTTCTGACGGTGATGCAGTTGGGTGGCCAGGGTGACCATCTTTTTGGTCACTTGCAGGGACTTCGAACAGAACACGAAGCGAGTTAGCCATAAGGCTAGAAACGCTATGTGTTCAACGTCGGACACTGTGTCTGTCGACTTGTCATGAAAGTGGTTGATAAAGGTGGTGAATGTTGGCTTCGTCTCAGAAAAGCCAATTTGGTCCTCCGACATCTCTTCCGGGTCGAAGTAATCTCCGGTTGGTCGAAGGCCAGTGATGGCTGCTACGTCGAAGAGTGTGGGGGTTAACATCCCACATGGAAGGTGAAAGGTGAAGTGAGAGCTATCCCAGAACAGCATCGAAGCTATAAGCATCTCTGGGGAGTAGTTTAAACCTGTCTTCGACAGCATTATTAGGTCAAAGATGCCCATCTCCTTCCAGACTGGAGTTTGATGTTTTTCCAGCTTTGTTAGCCAAGCAACGTAGTCCTGGGTGAGATTAGGGCAAGACCTAAAAACTCTAACACTTCTGTTGAAGAAACGAAGGTCGATCTTCTCGTGTGTGGGGTCTTCGTTATCTTCTGGATCCTTTTTAGCACAAGCTACTGGCTTGAGCTTCTCGACAATGGGAAAGTAGCTCTTGATCTTCAGAGCTTCAGAGATGCTGGGGTTCATGGGTCCAGCCATTGCGAAGATTTGGTTGGAGTATCCAACCGGAATCATCAAGTGACGCGAGTAAGCGTCGCGGACGGAGATATCAGATGGTTCAGGGACCCTTCGTTTCCCTGTAGCGTTCACTACCGGAGCGGTTACAAAAACCTTGGGCTTAGCAAGTTGCTCAGTTGGTGCGTTAGTCTTGGGGGCAGTTGAAGCAGAAGCCATTGTTGAGGATGAAGATGAAGTTGGAAAAGGAAGAGTTTTTTCTGCAAAGAAAACAAGTTTGCAAGAAAGCAAGGGAGTTTGAAAGATAGCTTGCGTGAAAAGTCCCACAATGGGATATTCACTACTATTTATAGTAGTGGGAGAAATTCCCAATAACGAGGGCATTAAATGTCATTTAATGCTGCAGGGAGTAGTGGGACGCGTGGCAGCATCCTGTTGTTTTGGCCGTTTCCGCAGAAACAGAGAGACGCAGCGTGCGTCCTCGTTTTTTGAATTTGTCATAATGACAAATTATGAAGTGATGTTTTGGTTCTGCACGCCGTACTGACAGTGACGTCCTAGGATCAAATCAATGATGGTTTCTTGGGATTGCCCATAGTTGGTAAAAAGCAACAAAAAGTGCACAAGTTAACTTGTGACTCAGCGTGGACAAACAGGTGTCGAATGGCGTTTTCAAAGAATGCCTTTTTCTTTCAAGAGTCGAAATAAGGCATTCTTGGGGGGCAATTTGTTGGCTCCTAAATTCGACACCTTTGTTTCAATTGATGACAGCCATTAAAAGCTGAAAGATGCTTTCGACTGGCTAAGCTTGTCGAAGTGACCGTCGAAAGATGGCCAAATACTTAGAAGATTTCTTCCAAGGAAGAAGGCTGATTGCCTTCGACGTCGAAGGAGTTTTCGTCGAAGACGTCTCTTGACGAACGTGTTCGATGGTCCAGAGTGGAGCAGTTTGAAATTCAAAGCTTTGGAGGGAAAACGGTTTCCAGCAGTTACTACGTGCGAACGTGCAAGGATCTGGAGCGTCGAGCATGGAGAACGTGACAAGTGGCTTGATCTCGAAGCAGCGTAACTGCCCGACGGTTACTTGGAATGTTTTTGTATAAATAGGAGTAGACGTGTAGTTTCTCGCGTGTGTTCACAATAGATACATAGTCACTCATTTAGATTCAAGTACCCAGTGTGAGCGAACGAATTGTTGAGAAATGTATGTGTGAAACACCAATTTATTAATTCAAGTCATTTACTTTTCCAGTACTTTACATGCTTTTTCCCTTTAAGATTCCTGTCGAACCTTTACACTTTACATGCTTTTTCCCTTTAAGATTCCTGTCGAACCTTTACATTCAAGCCTTGTTTATTTTACCAAGCCTTTCCTTTATGCAATTTACTTTAAACAATTTACTTAAAGCCTTATCCACATTAATTAAACTTCAAAATCAACCTATGTCCATAGGATCAATCTGATCGATCCTGCGAGTAACCAAATAAGTAACCATTTGGAGGATCAGCGGTTGTTTACCAAATCCCAAGGTAAACAAGATGGAAGGATGACGTCTCTGCATGCCATCTCTCTACAAAAGCATTAATCATAACATGGTTAACAGTCATATAACCAATCTGGTTCAAATCTCGCAACCCTGATAGCTTCAACACTTCATGAAACCATAACTCATTGGGCTTTTCCAGGCGACAGATCTTCCGTATATGGTTGATGATTTTTAGCGGATCACATTCATGTATACACGGTTTAACAAGAATGATTCAAACAAAACTTAATAATAAAACAAACACATGTTAGGTTGAATATTCCAACTAAATTTTACCTCTCAAACCCAGATATGTTTGGCAACATGGTTCGGGTAAAGAGGCGACGATGATAAGTCTGACGGGCCTCCTCCAAAACCTTGAGGTGCCGCAGGTGCGACCTCATCTACCTGTGATACATCAGGTGGTGGTTGGGACTGGGATGCCTATGATGCCTCAGGTGCCCCTGGGATTGTAATGCATCAGGTACAACTCATGTGGCCTGGGACTGAGGTACCTCATATGTCATATGAGACTATGATGACTCTCATTCCTCAGGTACCTAGGCATGACAACAAAACTCGTACCCACAAATACCCACCCTGAACCCGTCCCCGAACCCGCCCCGTTTATTTTATATATACATTATTAATTTTTGATAACTTATAATACTAAATATGTGACAATGTTTTGATAATTTGATTGTATTTATTATTTAAAATATTTGAAATGTACATATGTAATTTTTTGAGATTTTTATAATTTTTTTTTTATAATTTAATTTAATTTTGGAAAAAATAAATATTTTTATGAAAAAAATTGATTTTACTAAATGGATGGTGGCGGGACGGGGATACCCGAATCCAATCCGAACACATTTAGGACTGGTTTGAGTTTTAATTCTCCATTCTCGTTTGGGTTTAGGACGGGGAACAAGGATTGTTTGGGAATTCGAGTTTGGGTTTGGGGGAGGTAAAAACCGTCTCTGACCCGTCCTGTTGCCATGCCCACAAGTACCTAAATAAGTGAACTCATGCATCTACATGAAGATGGAGGCAGAGAGGCATGAGCAGGGGAACCTCGCCTGCTACGGGAGAACGAAAAAGAAGGCGAAAATCCATGAGCCCTAAAACCTGACGCCGCCCCCGCATCTAGTCTAGAGGTAGAAAGAGCATGAGATGGTTGAATATTTTCCCTATGAACTGAAACATGTTGTGCAACCCTGCCGTGTCTTAATCTGGATGGTCTTTCAGTCATAATTCCTGTAAATGTACAAGACAAATGTTACACAATGACTCCTGTTCAAAAAAAGGAAAAAGAATGCAGGCAAACTTATTCCGAATATGCATCTTCGGTTTATAGGTAAACATTGAAAATTTCTGAATATGTATCTTCGGAAATACCTGCAACTCCAAGCACAGTCAATGGCAAAATGTAGACCCTTAAAACCTAAAAAAAATCAATTGATCATAAAAACTACCAAACTAGATCGTTCCCCAATAGTTCTAAGCTATCAAACACTAAAAATCTTTCGCTTTCATGACCTAAAACTCAACTTCTACAAAATTTTACATAAACTCAATAAACTTTCAAAAAAACTTACAATTTCTCTCTTCAGGTTGATTCTTGACGCTTAATGAAGTTTGAATACTGATGTTTGATGACGTTTGATGTTGTTTGATGAAGATTGATTGAAGTTTGGGTTAATGGGGGTTGAGAAGTGCTTTGAAGAAACAAGTTTTTAAAAGAGTATGAGTAAGTGAGAAAGGAGAAGGGCGCTGACATGTATTTGAACAAATAACGTCTGAAAACGCATCTACGTAAGTCTGCCGGAGATGCATCTCCAGAATATTTTTGCGTAAGATTTGATCCTGGGCAATATTTGTATTGAAGTTGGATGCCTCCAGAGATGCATCTACAATAGACTTACGTAAATTCACCTCCGCTAAATTATATTCATTGATTCATAGTCTTGTTTAACAATGCGTAAAATTTTAATGTGTTCAGAGATATATCTTTAAATCTTGAATATAAATATATTTTCGTACGATACGCTAGAAAAATTTGAAATGTATTAATAAATTTCCACAAAATTTTATCTCAAACTCAAGTGATATTTTAAACTAAACCAATTCTTATGGAATCGAAGTCAATTCCGACTCTAATTCCAAGCTTATTAAAACATTATTATCAAGAATAAAATGCTACAACCACCTTTCTAGTAAAAAAAATTAAAATTATCGTGGAAATTTATTGCAAATCTTTTGTGAGATATCATTTTTATCCTTGTGAAAAAAAGTATTTACAACTTCAATGTTAGATCCAAGCCTTTTTCCCGTTCGGAGTACAAATCCGCCAAAGCGGTGACTGGACCATTCCGAAACGGCAGCGTTTTCTCGTCACGTTGAAATCCACGGCGGTGTGAGATCCATTTCACCACCGGCGATCTCACGTTCACCGGTGGTTCGCGCGTTTAAATCTCTTCTACCTCATACTAGTGCAATTGTAAGGTACACTCAATCGTGGAGAATCTCTATATTATTCAACATTTCTCCTAATTCGATTACGTTGCTAGATTCGTATTAAATTCTAATTTAATCACGCATCACAACGTTTCGGAGAGAAGATTCAATCGGCACAAAAACTGAGCTCCGCTTTTTTTTTTTTTTTTTTAATCTTCCGGTGAAAGCTCGAAAGATTGGTTCCATATTATGCATGTAACATTTTGGAGTTAACTTCAAGTAATTTAAAATTGTTAATGTTTGGATTTGTAGTATAATTAGTTAGTAAATTATGATTGAAAGTTTTGAAATGATTCATTCTTTTAGATACAGAGAAGTTTTATCATGAATGCATGCTATATTGAAAATTTCCATATGTATTGCTTATAAAATAATACATTCATGGCTATTCGATGTTCAATTGCAGCTTATGCTGGTAAAACGTGTGTTACAAGAAGTTGATGGCATCTGGTGAAGGTGATACTGGTGGAACTATGGAGATTCCAGCAGAAGATTCCTCTAGACCCGAGGAGCAGTTGTTTAATTCTGATACAAATCATCAAAGCAAGGATGGAAGTAATATAAATTTAGTAATGGAAAATGGCTTATCTGATGGCAATGAATGTCCTGCTGATACTTATGATCAGCTTCTGCAAATGGTTGTTGACCTGAAATTTCAGAATGAATTCTTGAAGTCCCAGTTTGAGGGGTTTAGCAATGTTAACAGTGTAAGTAGTGAGTCTAGTATACAGAAAGAAGCTGGTGGAGCGGAAGATGGGGAGTCTGACATTGTGAAAGAACTCCGGGAAAGGATAGAATCATTGAATAAAGAATTTATGGAAGAGAAACAAACGAGAATTGCATCCGAAGAAGCTTTGAAGCACCTTCAAGTTGCGTATTCAGATGCAGAAGCAAAAGCCAAAGATCTTTCCGAACAGCTTGTAGAAGGTGCAGTTATGTTTGAGGGCACGTGTTTAATAATGAAAGTCAGATATTAATGAATGAACAAATTTAACTCATTAAATATCATTTTACCCTGTATATTGTTACTTGTTTGTTAGCCAGTTTTACTTCTAAAACTAATTCTTACTATGCATTTAGTGGTGATGAAGCCATACTGATGTAAGGGAGTTAATGCTGTTCAAGAAAATTTTATCTTCCTTAGAATGAAAGCATTGTGTTACTTTCTTGTGTAGCTCAAAATAAAATAAAAGATTGGGAAGAGAAGTACTCTGAACTTGACGCTAAGTTAAACAGGCTTCACAAAAGAGCAAAACAACGCATTCAAGAGGTTCAAAAGGTGAAATATTGCTATATTCTTTCCTGGCTCAGTAATATGTTTTTAAGTTGATACATTTCCTTGAAGACAGTGTCTTATAATAACTTGTGCTCAAACTTCTAATCAAGTGGGCCGTTTAAACTGCCCTACCCCTCTAAAACTCAGGTCATGTATCCACATCATTAGTTTGTCTGAATGGTATACTTTTTACCTTTGCTTTCTTATATGATTGATATGGGACTGAACTGTTTGCTTATAATGATGAACCCTTATCCCCAAAATTATGATATTATCACAAATAAGTAAGGATGTTTTTATTTAGTGCTTCAACAAAAGCTCTTGAAGCAATTTACCGAGGCGCTTAACTGGATTATTTTCTATGTGTTTATATAGAAGTGAGTTCATCTCTTGGTTTGAGAAAATTCCATTCGCAGGAAAAAGACGATCTTGAGGTACGATTATCTGAGGTAAATGAATCTGCCGAGCGAGCATCATCCCAACAGTCAGCATTGCAGCAAGAGTTAGAGCGCACAAGGAAACAAGCAAATGAGGCATTGAAAGCCATGGATAATGATAGGCAACAGCTAAGAAGTGCAAATAACAAGTAAATACACTAATTCACTTTTCATCATGATGATTGATAGATAAACACATTCATTACTTGAAAATTTGTGCATCTTTAGGTGTGTCAGGAGAAGCTATATTCTGCTTTATTTTATATTATAGGATCTATTTGTGTATTAATAAGATATGCTTATGATAGGACTTTACCCAAGCATTACGGTTATTTGCACTGCAAGGATCAGATCACAACTAAAACTATCACATTCCATTTTATTCCATCTCTTTATTCGTGTGTAACATGTTGCACTTCTTTTTTCATGGAGCATTCTATCAATTTTGTCCTCCAAAGATTAAGGTGTCACTACATTAGTGCTCTAAATTTGTTTGCATCAGGTCAATCTCCCCAAAGATTATTGTGTCACTGCAATAATCCTTTAAAGAATTTTTCAACAAATTAGTACCATAGAAACAAAGTTGTAAACGGACTCATACATAGAAAAGCTGAGACAAAGGGACAGATTTAGGAACAACTTTGTATCTTATATGGATAGATTTCGTGAAATAATTCTTTGAAATACCAATATGGTGACACTTTAATCTTTGAAGGGCTAATTTAATAAGTAATGACAATATTTAGAAAACAAATATTACGATAACCTAATTTTCAGAGGAACAAATTAAGGCTTTATTCTTTTTTAAATTATGAAATATGGAGTAACACACCGCAGGAGAATTTTTGTATTAGGGGTTGGGTCTCTGCATGTTTCATATAAATATACTTTCAAAAGAAATTCCAATCTCTCCTGTTTGTGGAGAAAGCTAGTGATTTTGCTCCAAGATAGCACGATAACCCCTGATTTCAACTGACTGGGCTATGTAGGAATCATTAGGAAGCAACCTTGTCTTAAATTGATCTTGAATTTTTTCCTTGAAGGTTTCTTGAAATCTGCTTCTAGGCTAACAAAACGTTTTTGATGTGTCTAAATAAACTAATTCTAGATTTTTATGGAAAATGGAGGCCTCAAAGCACTCATCATCCCTATTTGTATAATAATTATTAGTTAAAAAATATGTTGCCCAGACTTCGAGATACCATTGAGGAATTACGGCGTTCACTGGAACCTAAAGAGAATGCTCTTGAGGCATTGCAGTTGTCAATTGCAGAAAAAGAACAGGTATATTCAAATTATCCATTTATTTTAATTGGGGAAGTGTTTATATGATTTGGATCTCCTGTATGTATATTATGCATAGTGCTTCAGTCTTACTGGTAATAGATTATAACTTATGTCTTTGTATCTGGTTGACGTTTGCATCTTTAACTTGACGCAGTACACTATTTATATCTGCAAACTAAATAATTAATGCTTTACATTTTATTTTATTAAATAATATTTGGTAAACATGCTGTTTTACCCAACTTATGTTTGCTTTCTCTGCCCAACCACAACTTTGTATTTAGGTTGTAGTCAATAGAGACTGTAGCAGCCACTAATTTTATAACGTTAATAGTTGTGTATCATAAAATTTGACAACTCAGATGCTGGAAGATACAAGAGGATTGCTTCAAGCTTCCGATGAAAAAAGGCAAGCTGCACTAACTGAGCTCTCTGCTAAACATCAAAAGGTATGTATGTGTATTTTTTTGTTTCTCTTTTAGGATGACTGTGTAACCTTTCATCGAATTCCTTATTTTTTCTGAAAAGGTGATATTCTTAATCTCTACTATGAATTTTTTATACTGTTGCACCTTGGCTTCAATTCAGTGTTTGTTTCCTGCAGAATATAGAGAGTTTGGAGGCTCAACTCAATGATGCATTGTCTGATAGAAGTAAGGCAGATGAATCCATTTCTTCACTGCAGGTGAATTTTATAAAGATCATGAGCTTTATTTCTTAACTGGGGGTGAAGAGTGTTGATAAACCACACACTAGGAAAAATCCACATGTGGCTTTATTTTTCATTTCATACTTAGCTTCCTTAGTGAATAGCTCTACTTTTACATAGAGGTCTACAAAAGCTAGACAACTGGACCATTTATAGGTGAGATTAGGCCTGAAAACTAACATTCAATTTAAATTTGGTAAAGTCAGACTATACTTTCAAAACCTGGAATTAATTTGACTTAGAAGAATGAGCTCCACGAGCTGAAGGGTTCCTTATTTCTAGACATTCCATTCATGTGCTTGCCATACTTGCATATTTGACTTACATTTAACTTCTTTCTGATTGTTAAATATAGAATCCCTGGACTCATTTTACTGGCAAAAGTTATATTAATTGTAATAAGATAATATCTTTTTTCCTGGATTGATTAGTGATGCCAATATTTTATCCAAAAAATATATGGTACCACTCACCCCTTATATATGAATGCATGTGTTCTTGGACATGTCTGAAGTTTCCGGCTGATGGGTTGATCATGCTTAATTGACTAATGCCTCCAGGTTCTAGTGGCAGAAAAAGAATCTAGAATTGCAGAGATGGAGGCAGCATCAACTGGGGAAGTAGCACGACTCAGAGCAGCCATGGAAAGCGTGAAGGGGGAGATTTCTCACTTAAAACAGGAGCATGTATGATTCTGGATTTCAATATGTATAAATCAGTATTTCATTGTGTTTTGGAGCTTTCTTTCTCTTTCCTCTTCTCCCTGAGCAAGAGAGTTTATTTTGTCGTGATATTATGTGGTATATACACCTGGCATAGTTTTGGGTTTTGATATTTGAGCCACAGAATGAGTTCATAAAGCATAAATCCGATTTTAAAATTAAAATGAATTAAAATTAAAATGAATTAAAATTGGCTGTCTGTACAATGACTTGTCGTCCTATTCAATAAGGCTGTCTCAGTGATTTAGGCGGAGGAGTTAAAGAGTGGACTGGTAAGGAGGTTGAACTTTCTATCTCCACCTATAACATAACGCCAACACACTAACATTTTCCATTACAAAATAAAAATAAAAATATTATCATGTGTAACTTACTGTTACGCAATTGTTATGCATAATTTTCTGTCTTGATTATAGAACTTTTACCTGGAGATTTCCAGAGCTGCAATTGCTTGATTATAAGTGATCATGTGACGCCTATATGCAAATTTAGATGATGCATTGACTTCTACGTTACATGTGTTGTGATGGAAGGATGGGTTACTTAAATAATTATTTGATTGAGCTATCCCTTAAAGATATACATGTAAAATTAGGAATGAAAACATCCCCAATTCGCTGACTTGCTTGAAGTCTGTTAACAGAACTGCATGCCTTAGATGATTAAATCACAATTAAATTCTTATACAGTTTATCTTGCAGAAGATGTTTTGAATTTTATCTTGTTCGATTTTATCTTGGACGATAAAATCAGGAATAAAATCACCCCCAATGCCGTTGACTTGTTTGAACAGAAATGCATGCCTTAGATGATTAAATCACAATTAAAATGTTGTAAGATTTATCTTGCAGAAGATGTTTTGAATTTTTCCTTTTGTTAAGTTACTGTAAGCATTGTTATAAATCTTCTTTACCTTTATTTGTGAAAGAAAATTATGGTTATATCCAGTTGAGATGCCTTTTGGTGTAGTTTTTTTTTTTTTTTTTTT